CCATTATATATATTAAACACTTTGATTCAAAGAGATTAAGGGATTTGCCCAGGATTATTTAGCAACTAAGCGGTGAAGCGGTGAACTGAATTCATCTGTATGACTCAGATCATTTTAATTACAGTGCTTCTTACTAATGGCCTTCTCCAACAACTGTTTTTTTTTTCCAAGAAACCATTGCATAGTCATTCTGTAATGAGAAGGCTGGAAACTTTGCCTAGTCTAAGGTTAGAAGGCTTGATGCCACCGCATGACTCACAATGGTCATTGACCCCAGTTCCTACATACTTTTGAAATTGTTGGTTTGATCATCCATTATAAAGGAAGTTTATGTCTTCCATATTATTTGGTACCAATGAAAATGGGTTGAGAATATAATTCATACAAATAAAAACGTAACAAAAGAAAAAAATCAATTCTATATTATTCTTAATAAAATTAGGCCATAAGCAGTATCTATCACATTTAAAATCTCAGATATTTTATAAACCCAGAATATTTTACAAATTAGACATAAAGTGATTAGGTTTTCTCTTTCAATGTCAGTGGAATAGACGGCCATGAGTCTGGCTTTCCTGCCTCTCACACATTGTGATTTATGTTCCTGAACAAATTAGACTTAATTTAAGAGCAAATCATCAGCAACAGGTATAATAATCTTGGCAGAACATTTATTTTAATTAATTGCTTTCTGTCTAATGTAGATAGAAGGATGCTGATGCCATTTACTCTATAAGGATTAGTGCTGTCGTGTAATTAATTTTTTTCTTCCCTTAGAACTTAAAGTCTCATCAGTTTTAAATTACAAAGGCATTGGTTTAGTTCATATTTAATCATAACAATCTAACTTCTATGGCAATGTTTATAGAAGAAACTTGTGAAAAAAAATGAATTTTAACCACTCTGCAGTATTATAGATTCCTGCTCCCCAAACATAAGGCCTGTTGGGTTCTTTGGGAGTCAGAGTGTTTTGGGGCTAGGCAGCTGAAAAACCGTCACCCCAGAAACTTGGCAGTGGGTAGCTGTGGAGAATACTTGAGTGATTTTTGAATGGTGTTGTTTTTCTTCCCTGGGGAGTTATCAGCTTCACTATTATTTATAGTCCAATGAAAGGCAAAAAGAAAACAAAAATTTCTTCTACTCCATGGATGCTTAACACTGTGTTTGTCAAAGATATCTTGCAGTAAATGATAGAAAACACAACTAAATAAACTCCATCTTCTCAAACCTGCCAACCTCAATGTTATTTAGAAATGATTTGATGATCTTTCCAAAGAGGGAGAAATAGCTAATACTAAACCCAAGTAGGATTCCCAGGGGCAGGGCAGCGTAACTCTCATACTAAAATAATATAACTACATCAACATGAAATTTTAAATCTTAATATGTCTTTTAAGAAAATTATAACCTTTAAGCCTTTACTTATTTAGATAGTCCTTCATATTTTAACCAATTAGTTGCTTATTCATTTTAAAAATGCTATAGGGAAATTTAAGCCTTTCCTACCTAAAGTCTGGTGTGAATTTATCATTCATTCTATATGAATTCAACAGGAGTGGTAATTAAAATGTCTACTTTTTATTTGGTACAATCTCAGGAGGCAGTGAGAATAAATAAATGTAAAAAAATGCATGAGGCTTCTGGTCAAGATGGCAGAATAAATAAATGCTGTGCTTACCTCCTCCCACAACCCCATCAAAATTACAACTACAGAACAAATCATCATTGAGAATTACCTGAAGTCTAGCTGAACAGAAGTCCTATAACTAAACATATATAGAAGAAGCTACATCAAGACTGGTATGGTAGGACAGGTGGAGATGCGGAACAGGCTGGTTGCACACCCACGTATGGCAGTTAAAAATTGAGAGGACTGTCTTGGTTGTGGAGGCACTCCCTGAGGAGCGACAGGTCCCAGCCACATACCAGGCTCCCCGGCTCAAGGTTCCAGTGCCAGGGAGAGAGGTCCCCATAACTTCCGGCTGTGAAAACCAGTAGAGATTGTGGCTGAGTGAGACGAAGGGCTACTGGAGTCCCAGGCATTCCTCTTAGAGGGCCTGTGCACATACTTGCTGACAAACTCACTCACTCTGAGCTCCAGTGCTGGGGCAGCAGCTTGAAAAGTACCAGGGACATACAAGGAGGAACTGAATTGTCTGGCTTCAGGGCGAGGGCTGGAAGGTCAGCTTTCTCCCAGATAAAAGTGTTGGCGGAAGCCATTGTTCCTTTGTTGAGCCCTCCCCCTACTGAGCCTGCAGGCATAGGTGGGCACCATATCTGAGTCTCCATCAACCTAGCTAACACTGTTCACTGTGCCTTGGTGATTCCCTGAGACCTTGCTCCACCCAACTTGCAGGCCCAGCCAAGACACTTCCAGTGGCTTTTCCATACAAATGGCCTGTCTTGGCTCATGCTGGAGACTTTCCTAAAATCTCGCAAAGGTTCACAAACCCCAAACAAGCAGCATCTGGCCTTGGCATGCGCTCTACCTCTTGCTAAGCAACCCCAAGCCCAGTACTAGTGGCAGCCAGCCTCAGTTCACAGTTTAGTCTCTCTCAGGTATCTCTAAGTCCAGCAATAGTGGCAACCATTTGCAGATCACTTTGTAGCTTATACTGAGTGGCCTTGGGAAGGGCACAGGCAGTGGCTAAACTTGGCCTGCACCAGATGCCCTCCTAAGAGGCCCCAGAACCAACATACCTGGTGGCCAGCTTCAGACTACACCAGAGCACCACCCAACCACTTCCATAAATGACATACCCAAAGGGCAGACTTGGCAGGCACCGGAGCCCCAATATAGCAAATCCTGCTCTGTAGGGTCAACCCCTGCACAATAGCTCTACTGTAGTCAAAGCTGGTCCTCACAACCAATCAGCCCGAGGGTCAATCCCTTCCGTTGATGTGCAAACAACAATCAAGGCTCAACTACAATAGGTTGGCATAGACAATCCATACGAGGGACACACCTGGTGACTAGGGAGACAGGCACCGGGCCCCATAGGACATCTACTACATAAGGGCACTCTACCAAGACTGGGAAACATAGCAGCTCTACCTAATACATAGAAAGAAACACAGGAAGGCAGCCAAAATGAGACAAAGAAACATGTCCCAAGTGAAAGATCAGAACAAAGCTCCAGAAAACTAAACAAAATGGAGATAAGCAATCTACCAGATGTAGAGTTCAAAAAGCTGGTTATAAGGAAGCTCAATGATCTCAGTGAGAAGTTCAACAAAGAGGCAACAAAAAAATGAAGATAGAAAACATTTAAAAAAACAATCAGAAATGAAAAATGCAGTAACTGAAATAAAGAATATATTAGAGAAAATCGACAGTAGATTTGATGAAGCAGAGGATCGAATCAGCAATTTGGAAGATATCAGAAAACACCCACTCAGAATAGCAACAAGAAAAAAGAATCCAAAAAATGAGGATAGTTTAAGGGGCCCTGGGACAGCGTCAAGCCTACCAACATTTGCATCATAGGGGCACCAGAAGGAGAAGAGAGAGCAAGGAATTGAGAACCTATTTGAAGAAATGATGAAAAACTTCCTCAACCTGGTGAAGTAACTATACTAGGAAGCACTGAGAGTCCCAAACAAGATGAACTCAAAGAGGTCCACACCAAGGCACATTATAATTAAAATGCCAAAGGTTAAAGACAGAGAGAATCTTAAAAGCAGAAAGAGAAAAATAGTTCGTTACTTACAAGGGAGCTCCCATGAGAATGTAAGCTGATTTCTCAACAGAAACTTTGCAGGCCATAAGGAATTGGCATGAAATATTCAAAGTGACAAAAAGCAAAGACCTACAACCAAGATTACTTTACCCAGCAAAGCTATCATTGAGAATCAAAGGACACATAAAGAACTTCCCAGACAAGAAAAAATTTGAGTTCATCACCACCAAACCAGTATTATAAGAAATGTTAAAGGGAGTTCTTTAAAAAGAAAATGATAAAAAATATGAATAATAAAATGGCAATAACAACATATCTATCAACAATTATTTTATGTAAATGGATTAAATGCTCCAATCAAAAGACATAGGGTCACTGTATGAAAACAAGGCCTTTACATATGTTGCCTACAAAAGACTCACTTCAGATCAAAAGACGCACACACAGAGCGAAAGTAAAAAAAAAATAATAATAAAAAACTGGGTAGCAATACTTATACTAGGCAAAACAGATTTTAAAACAAAGGCTATAACAAGAGACAAAGGACCTAATAATTCCACTTCTGGGTTTTAGCCGAAGAAACCCAAAACACTAATTTGAAAAGACATATGCATCTATATAGTCATTACAGCATTGTTTACAATAGCCAAGATATGGAAGTAACCTAAGTGTCCATCAATAGATGAATGGATAAAAAGTGGTACATATATACAATGGAATATATTCAGCCATAAAAAGGAATGGAATCTTGCCATCTGTAACACGGATGGACCTAGAGGATATTATGCTAAGTGAAGTAAGTCACACAGAGAAAGACAAATACCATATGATTTCACTTATACGTGGAATCTAAAAAACAAACAGAAAAAAACGAAGCAAACTCATCGATAAAGTAACATTTTGATGGTTGCCAGATGGGAGGAGGATTGGGGAGATGGGTGAAAAAGGGGAAAGGATTAAGAAGTACAAATTGGTAGTTACAAAATAGTCACGGGAATGTAAAGTATAGCATAGGAAATATAGTCAATAATGTAATAACTATGTATGGTGTCAGATGGGTCTTAGATTTATCGGGTGATCATTTCGTGAGTTACATAAATGTCTAATCACTATGTTGTACACCTGAAACTAATATAATATTGTATGTCAACTGTAACTGAAAAATAAAAAAAACATTTAAAAAATAATGTAACCAGAAAATAATAAAACAATAAAAAAAGCGCAAAACCATTTGTATAATGAAAACAGTCAATTCTGACTAAATAAAACCCTGTTAGGGTTTTACAATATAAAATAGATTTAGTATTGAAATGACACAAATTTGGAATCATTAACTTTATTTGTGACTCTTTATAGACATTGGTCCACTTCCACATGAAAAGTAAGGAGCATCTACTTTCACTTAATATTCTATAGAATGATGTACCACAAACCATAGTAACTTACACAGTGGGAAAAGTTAACTGAAATAAAAAGATTTTTATATTCATGCCCCAAGATGTCCCCCAAATGTTTGTTTTTATGTGTATAATTATGAATATCTGTAACTTCACAAAGCTAGTTTCTTCTGAGATCAATGTAGTATTTTTAATACCCACACTAGACCATCCAGATCACCAAACTTTCAGAAGAGGTTAAAAAAACAGCTATCCTCTGTCAATCAGATGCAGTTCCAAATCAAAGTGACTGTATACACACACTCATAGTTGAGGGCTGTGCTAAGTGAAAACCATTTCTCGTTTCAGAGATATTTACATCAAATTAGGACATTTACAAATAGTTCATAGTACACAATAGCCCAAATATCATTTAAATCTGTCCTGTGTAAGGAAATTAAGCATTCATAAGTGCCTCTAACAAATTCAGTGCATTTTCCTAACATAAATAACACAAGCTATTCTAAATGTTTTACATTTATTTCAGTGCATTATTTCCAAATATTAAATGGAATGAAATTATATTAAATGGTTATATCATAATATTTGAGGATATTATGGAATTTATATCACACAAATCAATTCACATCAATACCATAATTCACTCTAAAACAACTTCACAAGCACACACAAAACTGAGAACAAAATTTACTTCTTTAAAAAATTTAAAGTATACTATCTACTTTAAACTACACTAAAGATTTATTTTAAGAAAACAATTTCCAAACCCCTTTTCTAAGTTAGGCATAAGGAAAGTTCAATCCATTCGAATCTTCTGGTTTGTCATCCTATAAATGATGCTATCATATCCAGGATCCATGTTCCAAATATTGTAAGAGGTGATAATCACAGCCAAGGCCAAGGCGATCATTATCCAAAGTACCATATTGAAAACCACTGGATACTCAAAATTATACTTATATGCAAGGTTAAAGGGACTTGGTGGGTTCTACAATGAAGAAAAGAAAGAAAATCAAGAGGGAAGATAGAAAATTATCCCAATGTAGTAGATACGATTCATTTACTAACAAATTTATTCATAAGTGGCATAAGTGTTTATACTAGGAGCAACCAAGAAAGAGAGCCTTCATGGAGAAGATAATATGCAATGGTGGTGAAATATAAACCAGATCAATTGCTTGAGAAAATTTGGCAATACCAATAAAGTTGAAGGTATGCGGTATGCATGTCCTATGATCCAGCAAGTTCATACCCTAGGGAAAACTTCTATATGTGTACCAAGAGACATGGACAAGGATGTCCATCAAGGAATGGATAATTATGGCACAACACATAGCTGTAAAATGACTGAACTACAAGCTATGTTTATCAGCTTGCGTGACTCTTAATACTGAGCATAAAACACTGACAAATGCATATAGTATGATTCCATTTATATAAAATTCAAATAACAGGCAAAACTAAACACTGTTTACGGATAAGTATGTTATGTAATCAAACTGTAAAAAAAAGCAAAGGAATGATTAACATAATATTCAGGACAGCAATTACCTCTAGACGGGGAGGGTAGAGGGTTAAGACAGAGGGAGCTCCAGAGAAACAAGTATTCTCTTCAGGTGTATAGTGTTAAAATTCTTTTTACTCTTTAAATTAACTAGTATTACATGTTATATACAGTCATATGCTGCTTAACGACATTTCAGTCAATGACAGACTGCATTTACAACTGTGGTCCCATGAGATTGTAATGGTGCTAAAAAATTCCTGTGGCCTGGTGATCTCGTAAGCCCTCTTAACATTGTAGCACAACACATTACAACTGTCTACAGTATTCAGTACAGTAACATGCTGTCTAGGCTTGTAGCCTAGGAGCACTAGGCTATATCATATAGCTTAGGTGTGCAGGCTATACCATCTAGGTTTATGTAAGTGCACTCTATGATGTTTGCACAATGATGAAATCACCTAACAATGCATTTCTCAAAACATATCCTCATTGTTAAGTGGCACATGATTGTATTTATATTTATCTACTTAAAATTGTTTTTTTTTTTTAAATTTCAGAAAGGAAAATAAATGATGGTTCAGTCAAGCACATCTTTGTCCTGAAGAGAGATCTCTGGGCCTTGGTGGGGGCGGAGTTGATTCCAGGCCTGTGCAAAGGCATCGAGAAATGTAATCCCTTCTGGCAAAGGCAGTGTTTAGGAAACTTAGTTCATTTTGGCTAGAGAATAAAAAAAAAAAAGGTAGGGAAATAGCAGGAGTTGAAGCTAGAGGCAGGGAAGCTATAGAGAATCTGGCCTTCAGCCTATGGGCAACAAGAAGCCACTGACCAAATTTCAGTCAGGAAGTAACATGATCAGGTTTGTCTTAAGAAAACTTTGATGACCATGTGTAGGATGCATCTGGGAAGGACAGGCTGGGAAGAAGGGAGCTGAGTTAGTGAGCTGGGAGAAACGAGGGCAGGGGGACTGGCAGTGAGTACAAAGGAGAGACTATAACCCCACAGCCCCAGCACCTGGCGTGCTGCAAGCACTCAGTGTTTCCTTAAACCCTTGCCTCTCTTTAAGCTGAAGGAAAATAAGTGATTTCAACTGAAGAGGATGGCTATACAGACATGTACATTTACATGCAGGGAGCTCAGAATTGAGAAAACGTTAAAGGATTTTGCCCTTGAGAGACCTCTCTCTCTCTCTCTCTTTTTTTTCTTTTTAAGAGATTTCACCCTTGTACCTGTTTCAGGTGCTCGAAGTGATAGAGATGTTTTGGGACCCTTTCCCCAGTAGGTATAAGGAGTGACAGAAAGATTAAATAATGCATAGGGCTCCAGCACTTTTTTTTGGTAAATGAGTTCTTTTCACACTCATTCTCAGTCTACATTCAGTAAATTTTAGTATATTTATAGAGTTGCAGTCATCACCACAATCTAATCTTTAGAAGGTTTCATCACCCTAAAAAGAAAGCTCAAGCTGAAAGTCTTTTTTCTCTGTGAAGCAGATGAGACTATCAGTACAGAATTGAGGGGCAGACAAAGAGAGATGAAAGTTGACAACAGGTAGTGAATCAGAAACTGGAGGTATGGACAGAATAGAATCCCAGGAACATCTAGCAACCTCCCATTTCAAAGTGTTCATTTCGGTCTATTAGGTTTAACAAAAAAGAAATCCTAAATTTTAGATTATACATGTAAAATGTTAATTCATTACCTTATAGGTAAAGAAAATCCAGTGACATCACCTGAGTCTTGCTCCTCACCACATGTACAATAATTTCAGAAACCACTTTCTAATAAATGCAACTTATCCCTTACAGTAGCTAATTCATAAATTCGACCTGATGCCTCTGAGAATACAAACTGATTCAGCTCTGTAAAACTGGTTTGTCAAACTCCCCAAACAAGAGTAACTTGTTGAAACTGCTGCACTTCTCTCTGGAGTCACCTGACATAAACTACCAGGCCTAACGTGGTCAATGTTGAAAGAATCTAGTATTTAAAAGTCTCTCATTTTTTGTGTTGAAAAAAAAAAAAATAAATAAAAGTCTCCCATTAATTCAAATCTGTATCTTGTTCTTTTTCTTTGTTTGACTCCTCTGTTATCTTTTTAATCAGTTAAAATGGTTATTTTATGGCCTATACCCATATTCTATTACTTGAAGTTCCTGGAAGTCTAATTCTGCCATTTGATACTTTAGCTACCATGCACTCATGGTAGATTGGCTCCACCTGTGTCTTACAATGTTCTGAGCTCACATTTGGGGAGACTAACTGTAGGGGGTCCCCTCTCCACCAACGCTTGTGTGGACGGTATATCTTGCCAGAGAAGTTTTATATTTACTTCTGCTGGGCATCACAGGTCTTATCACTCTAGAACCAGAGTATGAGGGTATGTGTTTATTTCTTGGCCTGGGGCTTCCTGGGACTTGCAGGTAACAAAATGGAGCTTCAAACTCACACAGAGGTGGTCCTGCAGTTCAGAATTCCCTAGGAGACATTCCCACTCCCAGTACCTACTGTGACTACACAAAGCTTAAGCTGCTTTTTAGACTCCCTTTATTGGTGGGCAGACTTGTTTTCTAGTCCACCCTCTTAGGACATAGTCCTTTCAGGGTCCCAGCTTTATATGGAGGTGTCAGTTCCACCCTCTTGCCACATTCAGATACCAAAGACCTTGTTTCCAGTCTCTTGGTAACCCAACTAGAAATGTCCCTAGGGGCTGCCTGCTTACTACACAATTTTCAAGTTCCTCTACTTTATTTGCTTAAGAATTCCCCTTGCTTACTTGAGCAATCAACTATGCACTCACAAATGTATTTATTTTTATCCAGCATTTCTGGATGCTCTATAGTAGGAAAATTTTTCGGGTTGTCTACCCTGACATGGTCCTTTCACTCCAATTTAGAGTGAAACAATCCCAAAGCAGTTATGTCTAAATTATCTTGAACAGGAATTACCTTTGATGGTCTTATGCAAAGTCCCACCCTGCGATCAGTAAAACTGAGCAAGGTATGGATTGCATACCAAGGTATGGGTGCAAAGGGGAGTGTCTATGAATGATTGAGAATCTGCTCCAAGAGATGAGGCCAACTGTAAATAATGTTCTTGGCCTCATGATGTTCTGAGGTAGCCACAGTGCTACTCTTGTATATGTGAATGTATACACACATGCACACACATACACATTCGACTATGGCCATCACCTTTGTTATAACACTCTAAAGGATTAAAATCAAAGCAAGATCCAAGCCAAAAATTGGAGAAGTAAATCAAATTATAAAAAGTGCACACAGTGGATTTTGTGCTGTACCACAAAGACAATGTACCTACCTCTTGGAAAAGCAGAGTCTCCAGGCTAAGAGAGCCACACCACTCCCTCACATTAACTTCTGATGTTTCCTTGTAATACCAATATTTGAATTATCTTATCGGCTTTGACAGATTTACTTTTATCCCTAAAAGAACTAAGCATCACTGGCAAAATACATATATCCATGTGAATAAAAAATCTGTTTTAACTAAAACTGTTTTTTAGACTTACTGACTGCTCATTCATGCTGCCCATAGGTGATAGAGCTTTTAGTGGGGTTTTTAAAAGTTAATTTCACAATTTTAAAGCAAGATCTAAAAATTTACTTACCTCTTGTTTTGCCTCAAGGATAGTCCTTGTCTTCCTCACAAGGGATGTGTCGAATGATCTGACAGTCACTAGCTCTACCACTGCATTCCCACCATAAAGACTATACATGTCATCTGCAAACTGAAGTTATTGACATCTCTATGAATCTTAAATATATATTTATTGAAATTATTTGTAAAGCTTCTGTGCACCAACCAGAACATATACTTACCTATTGGCTCATGAAATACACTGTCTTAAAATAGGCAAGTCTTAAAGGTTCTGATTGTTAAAATATTCAAAAACTGTTAAGCTTCAACATACAAATGTTCAAAATAAAATTAAGAAGAGCCTGGATTTGTTGGCATATAAATTGAGAGAAGGAAATTAGGAAAGGGAAATGGAGGAAGAGTTGCAAGTGAGTAACTTCAAGAGCAGGAGAAAATGATCATTTATTATGTATCTACTAAATGTCTGGTACTGTGCTAGGTGTTCTTTAATTATTTCATAGTGTTTAATGGGGACAAAATTTCAGTTATGATGAAAGTTCTGGCGATGGACGGTAGTGATAGTAGCACAAAAATGTCAATGTACTTAATGTCACAGAACTGTATACTTAAAAATAGTTAAAATGGTAAGTTTTATGTACATTTAACCATGATAAAAAAAAAAACTATTGTGTTCTATTGTGCTGGAGTTATCCATCATTTCCTATGCTGCCTCTGCCAGCATTAGAGACATCCCAACATACACCTTTGACCTGCCTTATACGTGGTCACTAAAATCATAGGTCCTCCAAAGAAGGTGAGCAAGACTTCAATCAACAGTATTTCACTAGGCAAATGTTTTCCATTAAGAAGCTAAAAGTGAAATGGTCATACTCCAACCCCTTTTACCCCATAATTTACCTTTTGCAGAGCGTCAACAAGGATCTTAGAAGCATCTCTGAATTGTTCAGAGTCTTCCCCATAATGTTTCCCAATTTCATCCAAACCTGCCAGCTCCAGTGAATATAAATCAGGAGAATGATCCTTGGCTAGATGCTTATGTCGAGACAACTTAGGAGAATAACAAACAAAAGGAAGTGAATAAAGTAATTTCAAATATGACCAGTTGAAGTTTTATGCCTAATTAAACTAGGCTGAATAGAACCACACCAGTGTGTCATCATATACAAATAATCTAAAATGGTGGCAAACAGAGCTGGTTTAAATGGGAGTTTCCAATAAAACAAATCCAGCATAAATCTCTTTTTAAAGTGCAATTATAGGGCTCCCTAAGTATTTAATAAAAGCTTTTTAAAAAAAATTCCTTCGTTTAAAAACTTCAGATATGGCCCAGGGTATAAAAGAACAGATGGTTGGACCAGTCTGATCCCAGAACATGAACCATTGATGCTGAGACCAGAAACCTCCCACATGCCCTCCTGGACCACCTCACCGGCCCCTAGCACTATGCTTCCAGATTCCCGAACCAACCACACTAAAAAAAGAAAAAGTTTGGGCAACAACTTCAGTAGCTAGCAAATAGGTAAGTTTTTCTATTTCAGTCACATGAGGATTTAAAAAAAAAAATCATTCACCAAAACAGAAAAAATACCCTTCAGGCAGATTTATTCCCTTCCTCACTTGGTCAACAGCATTATTAGTCCAAACTGTTATTTCTATTTTAGGTATAGGAGTCAAGTCTTAATGTCTGACAAGTAATCAACAGCCAAGTCAGGGCTGCAGCTAGGGTGGCCCACCCTAGCACTGTATTCTTGGAAGATATATTTACTGTCTCCTAAGAGTAGAAATGTAAAATAATTTGACTGTAACATGAGATGAGTTCAAAATTCCAATACCACCACTAATTCCTCAACTTTCATGGGATTGTAAATTCAAGACATACTTGATGAAACTTTTCAATTGGTTTCACTATCAAAGATTCTCTAGAAATGTCTTTTGCAACCAAAATAAATGGAACTGAAAAATTAGAGCAGCCTATTTACCAAACTTGAAATATCATGTAGAACTTGCAGTTCAGAAAGAAAGAGCAGATCAACCTGCAGAGAACAAAAAGAAATGAGCATTACTTTAAATGTGCATCAGAGACTTGTATTTGCCATTTATCAAGTAAGGCAGAGGATATTACAAATTTTAAGCATGTAGGTGAATTTATGCAACAATTGTCCTTCATTTGGTAGGTTCGTTTCAATTGAAAATGCATATAAAACATTATTTTCCAATAGAAAGGTGATAGGTGATGGTCATTTCCCAGCACAGTGACTACCACTCAATAGCCATACTTCCAATAAACCAATGATAAAGCACCCAAACTCTACAGTGGTTTTCCCTCAGTGCATCAGAATATTCTGGTGCACTGTAGCGAGGTCCTGCCAATGGCCCAGTCTACTCACATCCCTTGAATTTGTTCCACATTGGATAAGAAGACGGTAGTACTGGTCAATCATAGTAGGTAGAGGGGAGGGGGCCAGAAAGGTGGCATGCAAAGGTGGCATGCCATGTGGTTTAGAGGGTACATGTGTAGGTGGTGAAGCTGACAAACAGGAGTCAAAAGTAAGGGCGGGTCCCTCCCTTGAATGTACTGTCAAGAATGAAATAGACAAATGAGACAACACTTCAGAAGTGGGAGTGAATGATGGAGGCTCCAATATTATCAGATCCACACAGCTCCACCAGCCACCAAGTAAATACTGTCATTTCTGGTTTGTCCAGATTAACTGGTGGCAACCTTCACACTAGAATGTAATACTATTTACTACTACAGCTCAACTCACAAAAATATGAGATTCATAAAACAATTACACTAAAGGAAAGAAGAATCTACTCCAGCAATAAATTTGCAAAACTTTTCATTTTCTAAAATGTCATTTGCTCTAAAGTCAGGAACACAAGAAATGGAAAACCAGAAATGATATTAATTCACTCAATAACTGTACTTACTTCATTGTTCCTACTCAGAGAATTGAGGGGAAGTGCATTGAGAATGGAATTTTCTTGAAACAGGCGATTGCGGAGCTGTCGTAACGTTACTGAAAGATCTTCAAAAACTGAGTTTGCCTTTCCCACCATATACACTCTCTGCAAAAAGAATTAAAAATTTTAAGTTATGTTTTACCGATTAATTCCAATATACAGAGGTCTGACAGCATTTTTCATAAAAATGGTTTTAAATTTCTATTAAATAATGAAAGCTTATTTTTTAAAGCATCTTAAATAAAAACTGTATTACTTACTTCCTCACTGGGAGCCAACTGCAAAACTACAGGAGTTTCTTCAGAAAATAAGGAGTGAATGGAATTTGCAACACTGTCGAGACTAAAAGGAACTGCCTGAAATTTAAGAGTAAGACCTTAATTATTATCTGAACCAAAGTGGGAAGAAAAATCTTTCAGATAGTATTAAAAAAGGAAACTTAAAAAAAAAAAAGCAACAGCATTTTCTATGGAAATTCAAAAGACCCAAATTACATCCAAACTGAAAGAGCCCTTTTGAGGGTACAGAAGATCAAACAGCCTCCTAGTGGGCCAAATGGAGTGTGTGTCTCCCAATGTGGTAAGTAGGAAATAACATGCAAACACAAAGGATGTAACACTATCTTGCACAAACCATCATTTTCTGGTGGCCATTCGTGTATTTTATGCAGCAATACATTTGGTTTCAATATCAATTAATTAATTAATTATAACATAATACAATGAATACATATTCTACAATTAAGTATTAACTTGCATTTGAGGTCAGAAGAATCTGAAGAATTAAATTTAGTTGAAAGAGAAATAGACCTAATTTTTCATTTTAAAATTTAAAAAATGTTTAATTAGAGGTATGATTTGTCTTCAGACAGACTGAAGACCCTAAGATAAGGCATAAAGTATGTCACAGAATTTTGAAGCCTTTTTCTTAGGACCACATGATGATGATATTAAACTGAAATAACCAACTGTGGTAAAACCTACTTTTTTTCTTGAATTTTTATTAAAGTATAACATACATATAATATAGTACACAAATCTTGGGGTAACAGCTCAAGAAATGTTTACAAATGGATATGCTCATATAAGCCAACCAGATCAAGACAGAATATTAACAGCACCCTAAAAGCCACCCCACCCACTTCCTCTACCCGCTAGGGTAACCAAAATTCTGACTTCCATCCTCAAAGATCTGTTTTTGCTCCACATTATTTTTAACAATAAATTACAATAATTTTCTCCTCAAAAATTATTTTATTCTCAGTATTATTGTATTAAAATAAGCAGTATAGTAGTAGTGGTTTTGTTTTAATGGAGATTTCTTACAGTGTTTTTTTTTTCTAGTTAATTCCCTTTACTAGTAAAAGGTTCATGTTTATAAGTAGCAAATTAATACTAACATGGTATAGGCAGAATTAATGTGATTATAGAAATTTTACTGATGAAATCTCACCATCAAAATTAAGTTTCTCAATTTCATACTATGAAAGAAAATCAATTTTTACTCTTACTCAAGATGCATATTAACTCTTTCCAAAATTCTCTTAAAATGAGTTAATGAGTGAAGAAGGAGAAAGACTCCAAACTTGTAAAAGCATACTGTCACTAGCTCCCTGAGTCAGCCATAAGACTTCTCTTTTTGCAATCACACAGTTCACCTCCTCAGGCTTTGGAGGGAACACAACAACATGTAACATAAACTCTCCAGCTTCATTTCACCTACTGAAATGGCACTTGTGGCAGAGAAGTTGAAGATCAAAGGTAACACCTCCCTAGCAATCAAATTAGAGAAACTATTGAGTCAGATGAGCACCAAACTGTGAAGGAAAAGAAAAAAATTATACAGATCGCTAAGCTCAAAAAGGAAAAAGCTCAGCTACTTAAAATCTAGTGATTGTTTTCTATCCTTATAAGTATATGCATTGTTTGGCCTGGAGAAAATGGAATTTCTGTATCTGTATGACTTGAAATTCTAATGAAAGCAGCTAGCTAATCAAATAGAAGCTTCATTAAGTGGAATTCCAAGACATTCTATTAAAAAAAATATATTTTGTGGGTTTTGTCCTCTGAGCCTTCTATCTCACTCACCACCTACTGCCACGAAAAGTATTAGGAGCAATCAGTCAGGGTCAAGCAATAACAGGCGCTCTTTTCACAGCTTCTACACATATAAAATGAGGCTAATCTGTTTTAAAATGTTTAGTTTTGGACTGTATGCTAATGAAAATCTTAATAGCATTTTGGATTTTTATATACTTATTTTAAAGGGATCTGCCACAGTGATTTACACAGAAATCACGTAATCACATAATCTTGTGAAAATTTTTAAAAATAATTTTTACAAATCTGCCTTTCGATTTTGATTTTTCCCTTTCTTCCTTTTACTCTGAATTCTTCTGGTTTCTTTAGTACATTAATTTCCATCTTTTAAATTGTCTAACATGTGCATTGGAAGGCTATAAATTTCCCTTTTCTTAACACTTTAGCTGCACCCCAGAATTTTTTAAATATATGGTACCTTCATTGATATTCGGTTCTGAATAATTTTGAAAATTCCACTGTAATTTTCTCCTCAATCCATTAATTATTTAGCAGTGCATCAATTCCAACTATCTTTTCCTGTTGACTTAAATTTTTTTTCAAAAATTATATAGAAAAAAAGTTATGTATACAAATGGTTTAAGGAGACAAATAGTTTTCTATAAGACTTTTTATGAAAAATAAGTTTGCCCCTCCCCTCATTTCCCATTTCTCTGAAGTCCTCACTTTCAAATCCTTTGTTTCCTTTTTCTGTTACCACCATCTCTAAATAATATGGTTATATTACTACATCTTGGTTTTTCAATTTTAGACATTATCTATTTATTGTCAAATACAGAAAATGAGGATTTAGCTCTCCCACGTCACCAACCACAGTCCCATCTCCTGCCCCATACATGCATTCTTTTTATTTCTCTCCACCCTTCCAAAAGTTCTATCATAATTTTCATTGGATCAATATTATTTCATTATTATGACTATGTAAACAATATTGTCAGCTTAGCCTTATACTATACAAATTACTGCTTTTCTGTTCTTGCTCTTTGACCTCTAATGGCAACAGATAAGAAATCTGCTATCATTCTACTCTCATTCCTTTGTAATGACAATGTCTTTCCTCTGAAAGCTTTTAAGATTTTCAGTGTCCTTATCAGTTCTTCAATTTTACTATGTCTAGGTGGTGATTTGGCTTTAGGCTACTGAGTGTTCAACGTGCTTTAAACCTAAAAAGTCATACATATATATATATTTTTTACCATTTCCAAATACGTTTTTAAGGTATCATTTTGTTATTGTGTTTAGATTTAACTGCATTGTGGTCAGAGAGGGTGGTTTATATGATACAGATTCTGTATTATTTGCTGAGATCTGCCTCCTGGCCTAGTACATAGCTGTTTTATTCTAAGCATGTCATGTGTGCTTGGAAATAATCTATACTAGACCACAGGAAAGTCTGAAAAAATTTCCAAAAAATCAGCATCATACAGACCAATCTTACAATGCAATAAAATTAGAAATTGAAAAATTAAAAATGATTTTAAAAGAACCCACACATTAAACACCTCTAAATAACTCATGGGTTAAAGAAATCACAATATAAACGATGAAATATTTAGGAGTGAATATCAATGAAAGTACCACATATCAAAATGTCTTATAGCTGCCTCACAGTTTCTATCCCTTTCTTTAACTCTCACAATTTTAATGTATGTATTTTTAAATCTCTTTGAGACTAGTCTATCATCTGTAGTTCTAGAGGGATGAATTGTTTGTTATACCTACTTGGCATTTTTCTTCCAAGTGCTTTGTAAATCTGACTCAGTCAAATTTTTTTTTTTAACCAAAGGAACCCTACACTGTGGAGGTATGTCCATATGGGGTGTGTCCTGTAAATGTGGAGCACAGCACAAGCTTGTAGTTCTGATTTTTTAAGGGGAATCTAAGGGTCCCACAGCCCTTAGATTCCCCTTAAAAAAGGATGAGAGTCAGTTCCTCTGTGGTGGCCCTAGTCCTCCTTTCAAGAATAAGAGTATTTTGCAGACCCTGGCTTTCTGTAGCGAACACAATTCCAGCTTTAGCTCCTGATCACAACTCTGGCTTTTGAGTTTTCTATCCAAATCTGGCACCTGGTATGTATCCTTTCCTTGCTTTCACATTTAGTTATACATGTGAAACTGTTTTGGTGACTTCTATATGCTTGCAGAAGAAGGAGGGCCTCTCACAATAGCTCAGTTACCCTTACTCCTTGAAGACCTAGTGAAGGAGTAAGTGAGCCAGCCAAATAGTCTCCAGTCTCCTTCTTACACAAAAATGCAGTAAAAATCCAAAGGGAAAGTAATAAGATAATGCCCAAGAAAATGTCAGCCACATACACTCTCAACTAGTTTCTTTTTTTCGATCCTCTATTCTGAGAGTGAGGCAATTTATATACCTCTTACCTTAGAAAGTACTCCCATCCATAGGAAATGGACAAGTCTCAATAAACTTATAATCACCATGTAATTTTTTAAAAAATAAATTGTGTTTTACTTATCAGTGAATAAAAAAAAGACAAGAGAAGTATGCTTAGAACACAATTCACAATGACAGCTGACGAGACAAATTAAAAATGCAAACCTTTAACTTTTTACAATACTCACATTCTCCAAAGGGTATGAAATGGCACTGCCTGGGGGTAGAGCGAGTTTGTCCACTCCCTTCACCATCACCATAACGGTAGCCCGAGGACGATGGAATAGGTTACCAACTGCAAGTCCTGGCCAAGAAAGATCCTAAACATGGAAAAGCGTGAAAGGGTGCTTAATTATCAACTGAGGAAACCATGCCCCAGAACATCTAATAAGCAGAGTCAGGGGGTTCTGGGATGATACTGGCAATGAAAATTCCCAGGTAGAACAAATGTTTTATTTAAGGCAGTAATTGTAATCTCTTAATCAAGGATGCAGATTTCTACCTTTCTCATTTTTTTAAGCTTCTACTGATTTGAACAATAAAGTCGTAAGTCATGTCAAACTTTTGATGGAAAAAAGCAGGCAAGTAAACAAAACAAAGGCACTTTACAAATTCCAAATTACAAAGTATTCTTGTCTTCATATAACCATGGACATTTTCTTCCTTCATCACTGTTTGCCCTGATTTACAGCATCACTTTTCTCTTTCACAATGACATGGCAAGACTCATTAAAACGTTCTCTTTAGACTAAGTTCTTTATAAATAAAACAAAA